ACTACACCTACAACTACACCTACAACTACACCTACAACTACACCTACACCTAGACCTAGACCGACACCTAGACCTAGACCTACAACTACACCTAGACCTAGACCTACAACTACACCTACACCTAGACCTACAACTACACCTACACCTTGGGCTACACCTAGAGCTACTAGAGCTCAAGTTAAAGTTCAAGCTTGAGTTCAAGCTAGCTAGAGCTAAAGCTGATACAACTACTTATTGCTAATGATATTGATAATGATATTGATAATGATATTGCTAATAATATTGATAATGATATTGGTAATGATGTTGATAATGATATTGCTAATGATATTGCTAATGATGTTGATAATGATGTTGCTAATAATATTGATAATGATATTGGTAATGATATTGATAATGATGTTGATAATGATGTTGATAATGATATTGATAATGATATTGAAAATGATATTGAAAATGATATTGATACTGATATTTCTATTACAGTATTGACTAGTAGTAGCACAGTAGACAGTATTGAGTGTTTGTGTGATTGCAGTACTGTACATTAGTACCGTACGTACAGTATGGTACATGTAGAAGCCTGTTTATTTGTATGTATGTAAATACTTACTATGTATGGTATGTACGTACATCAATATATTTACTGTAATCTTTTCCAACCGGCCGGTACATACAAGACTGCAGCTGGTTGCTGGGGACCAAAATTGATCTATTTGGACGTCTGTAGTACAAAAGCTGTGTAGAAAGCTGTGTAGAAAACAGCAAATCAAGGGGTATACTGTCCAATTTGGGCAAAATCAGTTGGTTTTTATCTTCACACGCAAACACCGTGTTAAAATTAGCTTTTGGCCTATTTTAAATCACACATTCAAAATACTCAAAGCGCCAGAGATGGCATTGCTAACTGAGACCCCCAGAACAGCACTGGTTCCGGGAGTAGTGGGAACAGCAGTATTCCTTGAGTAGTGTAAATAGAGATGCAGTAGCATCTTTTCTTGCCAAAGAGCATCTGCACTGTGTTGTTGAGGTTATCCATTCTGCTCATACGACTAGAAATAATGAACATTGTAATTGAGCCCTTGGCAAAGACTGTGGCCCCAGAAAGAAACTTGAGCTGTGTAATCGCAGCAACTGCATTGAAACACTGCCCGTGTCTCTCCATCATTGTATCCCTGGTGTTTGGCTTAATGTGCCTAAAGTGAGTAGCGAGCAGGTTCAGTGTTTCAATCTACTATTCACGGCTTCCTGCTGCGCCCAAGCATTTGATTTCATCTTTCTTTTCTCACTGTTGATCTCCATTGATGGATGCTTCAGTTGGGGGTCTCCCCCATAGCCCCTGTCTGCTTCCACACCTTCCTCTGGATGAAGATATGTACCCAAACCCTCCTCAAATATAGTATTATCATTCATGCTTGCTTTGAATGGACCATTTACCCACACAATGAAGCCTGTCTTCAAGCAAACAGCCACTTCATACTTCACCCCTGGCCCATTGATCTTCTTTGAATACATGTCGGGGGAGAAAGGCCATGGTTCAAAGACAGGACAGTCTGTTCCATCAACACTTATGTAGCAGTTGGTCCAAGCTTCTCCATTCAGTCCATCAAATCTGTTGTCAAGACTGATCAGGTCCTCACACAGCTCTGCAATCCTCTTCACAAAGTACCAGGACCACTTTGAAAAGGTCTTGGCTGAAGGCCATCCTATGAGAGAACAATGGGTCTCTACTGTTGAATAGACCATAAGACTAATAAGCGCCCAAAGCAGATGCTTTGGTTGTCCACCAGAGTTGATAGGACCCCAAGCTACTATTCTATTCCAGATATCTGCTACCATTTCAGTTGGGGCTCCAAAGCAAGCTCTGAACCTCATATCCTTGTCCTTGGCATTCCACTTCCTCCTTTAGGGCCACTGAAGGACCTCTTTAGCAACTAGTTCAATACCTTCTTTGGTTAGTACCATGTTGTTGCCATTGTTGAAAAAAGACAAGCTGCTGCAATAAACACGCTAATTTAATACTTCTACTGGGTCCTCTTCTATGGTTCAAGGGTTGTTGAATCAACAATGGAAGAGAGCTATCCAGTGATACCAAGTACAGAGTATAAGGTTGAGTGGAAGTGCTTGAAATGGAGCTATTTCCATGGTCAGTTGCTTCTTTGAACCAGGGAGTTTATTGAGAATAGTTTAATTCAGCACGCTAAATTAGCACACACTATCAGCATGCTGGAGGCAGTTTCACCAGACAGGCCACAGTAGGCCTCAGTATGATTTTGAACGCGGAATCAAAACCCTTCTATTTTGAGCAAAATGGCAAGGGTACCCCCTTGATTTGCTGTCTTCTACAGAAATTTCTACACAGTTTTTGTACTACAGACGTCCAAATAGATCCATTTTGCTCCTCGCTGACCAGCAGCTGAGCAGCTGCATGCATTGCATGGGGATCCTACCATACAGTACTGGCTCTAGCAAACTGTACTTCAATCCCACAGCATTGCTGATATTTGGATTGGCATTGCCCTCTTTTTGTATATAATAAAGAGTATTTATCACATATATATCTAATACAGGGATCCCACAGCATTGCTATCACTTTATGTATGAATCCCATATCATTGCAATATATGATAATATACATCACAAATATAAATATAAGGAATCCAATGGCATTGCAATATGTATAGTCCTTGGAGGCACACACAGTATTAAGTAGTATGAACTTGCTCCTAGTAATGTTGAGCTTTTCCAAGCTTCACGTGACAGCTCGAGTTAGAAGCAAATAACAGGCTAGAAATCACTTTTTCTAGCAAACGCAGCAAAGCAGTAACCAAGACTGGAGGACCAATGCAAGCAACAAGCAATGGTGCGATGAAAACACCAAAGGTACAGTCCATTGCTAGCTAAGTGCAGCTGAGAGCTGCCTTTGGCTGCTGGTAATTTGTAGATGAATTATAGTAAAATATTGTTTTCATATTCTTTCCTTTTACAATGTCTTGACACCAACCAAAGAGTGAAGCAAAAAGAGCACACCAAGAGAAGGATCCTTGTCTAACTTATGACCATTTGCCTCTAGCAAAGCAAATTGCCTGCTACCACTTCAATTGCCACTTGAGTACAAACAGAGGAGAAGGTTGGGATCCTAGTGACAAACCTGGATCAATTTTTCATTGGAGGTCTTCCAACTACATCAGGGAGAACATCTAACAATCAAGTTGGCGAAAGATTGCCAAGGTAAGAATAAGTGACAATAACGCTTGTTTGCTCTTGCTCTTCCATTGATGCACGCTCATTCTTCTTCTTTTCATTGCAGCAAATGTCATTGTTTGCGCGAAATCTACACAACAGAAATATACTGTTAGATGATCCATTTGAAGAGTACAGGAACAAAAGAGTTGAACTGCAAGCAGCAGAAGAAGTATTTGAAGCAGTTGCCATAGACCAAGAAGAAGAAGCCTCTTACAACTCCTACCCCTCTCCTCCTGAAACTGAATCCAAAAACAAGGAAGAATACACGAGCCCCATGCCCCCAAGAAGAGTTCCCTTGACCAAGAAGCCTCGCGCTTCCTCTGATGAAGATGGTCTCTGTTCTACCATGAGTGCTATGAAGCTTGGCAAGGATGAACCCATCACCAAGCTCAATGATCTTGAGCTTAGTTGGGTTGATAGTAAGAGACACTTCAAGATCCAGATCAACTGGCCGCCATATCTGTCAAACTACTTCTGTTTGGCAGAGATGGACAAGGATGCAAATTGCAATATCCTCTTTCCCAGACGGCATCCCTCTGAGATTGGGTTTGGGAAGAATACAAACAAGCTCAAGGATGACAATGGAGAGATCTTTGAAGAGAGTACCATCTTCTTCCTTGCAAAGGATATGGATACCAGTATTGTTGAGCCAAAGATTCTTCTTGGAACAACCAAAGAAAAGAAAGGAAACAATGTCCCTGTGGTGAAGCTCCTCAGGATTGTCTTCCATGAGACAAGGAACAAGTCTGGTACTGCTAAAAGGATTGAGATTGAAGAATCTCAAAATAATACTGATCTATGTAAGTTAGGAGGAGAGAAGAATCAAGGAGCAAGTCCCCAAGCATCTCTTTAGATGGATCTGAGGAGGATGATGATCATGATAACAACGCGTCGTCAACACCTTTACACACACAATATTGTAAATCAAAATTGATGCACAATATTGTGTATGATTCAATCGTATCATACATATTAGAAAAGACTGCAGTGAAAACGCACACAATATTGTAAATCAAAATTGATTTACAATATTGTGTATGATTCAATCGTATCATATGTATTAGAAAAGACTGCAGTGGAAACACACACAATATTGAAGAAACATCGTCTGTCTGTCTGTCTGTCTGTCTGTCTGTCTGTCTGAATCTGAACACTTTCTTCGCGCCATCAATAATCAACAAAACCTGCTCAGTGCAGTAGGGAAATCTAGATTTTGAATTTTAGTTCAGAGTCGGAGAGTAAAGAAAGAAAATTTTGAACTGCAATAGAATACAGTTGTACGGTATGATACTTGCAGGCGGTCGATTAGCTCAACGATGAGTGACGAGCACGATGATACCAATGATAATGACCAGACCAGAAAGATATGGACGGATCTCGTCCGATGGGTACAAGGAGAAGAACAGAAAGGCGGCTCGATCGATGGAAACAACGGCAGAGACACACAGAGAGATTCTTCCAATGGAGGAGGCTACGTTCACCCTTCGCTCACATTGAAAGGCAATGGCCCGTCGAGAGGGGTTGTGGCAACCACTCCGATTCAAAAAGGAGAAACACTGATACGGATTCCATCGGCACTAGTTCTAAGTGGGGAAGATGACGGAATTGCCAGTCCGTCGTCAACAACAACAACAACAACAACAGCAACAACAATTGTAGCATCGCCGTGGTTGAGATGCGTTGGAGCATTTCTGCGCGCGAAGCAGAAGAAGAATAGTGCGATCGATTTCGAACCGTATCTGAGGTCACTGCCCATGTTTCAAGAGTACGAAACGCTTCAGCAATGGTCGACCGAAGACGATGTCAAACCTTTCTTAGCGGGAACCACACTTGGAAGTATTTTGATGATCGACAGAGACAGCAAAGGCATAGAAACGAGATATCGMCAAAGTGTCAAACCTTTTCTGCGTCAAATTGCAGTGATTGKTGGGGGACAAGATTCTAAAGAGGGAAAAAAAGGCGAAAATGCTTCAGACAAAACCAGTGATGCCATGTATCAATCTTTTTTGGAAGCTACCATGTGCATATCGACGAGAGGATTTCATTTGCTACCTACCACGGACTCGGAWGATGCATCAAAAAGACTGGCACCCGACACAAGCCACAACAGTTATGGTGGCCCATTTTTACTGCCCGTCATCGATTTGCTCAACCACAATCCCCAGAAGGCTTGTACGACGTTGCGGCGGTATAAGGCCAACGAAGGCACGGGCATCATCAACAACAAMAASAACAACAATTGCTTCAAAATGATAGCAGAGCGGAACGTCGMCGAGGGGGAAGAAATTTTCCATTCGTATGGAACYGATCTGACCTCGGCACAGCTCTTGCAAACCTTTGGGTTTGTTCCGCGTACGCATTCCAGAAACTCGGTYGGCGATGACACTAGCAATGCCGACGCCAGGGCTCCAACATCATCYACGACACCGGTCGGTCTTCGAAAAATGGACCACTTGATCGCAGCTGCGAGATGTGTAAAAACATCACCGTTTCCAGAATCACTGATGCTTCGTATCAAGCAGCTGCAAGGGCAAACAGAATCGACAGAGGAAGAGGAAGATGACGAGGACGAGGACGATTTCTTTTGGGAGGTCCAAGACATTCCCGATCGTATCGTAGCCGAAAATACCAAGTCGGGAAATGATTTAACATCCATTGTAGCTGATGATGAATTCTTGATTTCGATTTCTTCCAACAACGATGATTCAGCAAATTGCAAACKGTTTCTGTTGACTGACGACATTGTTACGCTACTAACTGCCCAATTCTTGCCCGACGATGCATTCCTCGAAATTTTCCCGGAAGGCAGCAACACCGTCCATCTGGACCGATCAATTTTGATKGAAGATTATTATCTCGGAATGCTGGTGTGCAAGACATTGCTTGTTGCAATTCGATTGAAAACAAACGAGTATTGTGGGGGTGATGGCAGCAGTGATACCACAAAGGAGTCGACAGGTGGCATCAAGAAAGCAGTCTCCGGGTGTACGGCTACTGCTGTCGGCCGCTATCTATCCTCTACTTTACAGCAGGAAAAATCGCGAGTCGAGGTTCTGCTCCGAGCCGACGAAAATAGACGAGAACTCTATGGTCGCACCATACGCATCGAAGAAATGAAACAACTTTGTGCATTATGTGACGAGATCGAATGCCTAGTATCGAATCTATCTCTTGCTGGCGTCGAACATAATGGTGATGACACCGACGAGGGCATAAATGAGAAACATCCCCGTTATCGCGACTCCCAGAACCCTCTAACATCCCCGCCGAACAAAAAATCCAAGACGCTATAACCTTGCAATACATTTTAATATTGCAATGCATCTACAGCAAGGCCGACTTATTGTAAAATATTGGAATTGAGGGCAGTTTACTAGTAAAGGATAATTCACGTCAAAATTTTGCACACCTCGGCCCGTACATATAGATCCACACTCTATCTACGCGGAATCAGTGACGCTGCTGATTTTACAGRATGAAATATCGCCACCACTTCGCAAAAGCTGCTCGATAGAGCTTTCGTGTGCACCAATCAAAAAACTCGTTTGCAATTTGATGCCGACCTATTTAGTGGAARAAAATCCTTGGATTCTGTCTCAGCACATAAAATATAAGGTCTGCACTCACATTTATATCGTATTTGTTCCCTTTCGCAATGGTGGCTTCCGCGTCAACGTCGACATTTTCATGTAGATCCTGACAAGAATTCCCGATGACACAAGGCCATAGTGCCAGAGGAGGCTCCTCCAGTAAGAGTTTTCTTCCACCGCGATTCAGTATTGTATGGTAGTTCATATGTCGATTGATGTCTTCATCGTTGACCTTGCTGTTGCCATCGATTTCAAAGAGATTGTAGTTTTTKGAAACCGCTTCCAAGAGTGCAAGTGAGCCGATCGTTCCAAATGGATTACTCCCCAATTTCAATTTCCGTAATGATTTGGAAGTCATTGCAGTTTCTGCCAATACTGTAACACCAAAGTCGGTTATATTATTTTCTCGAATATCGAGGTTTTCTAGCGTACAATTTTTCGCTAGTGCCGTACCAAAACCAAGAGCACACGAGTCGTCCAATTCATTCCTGGGGAGATCCAGAGTCTTCAACCTCTTGTTCACTGTGAGTGCTTTGGAGATTGCAGAGATATCCATTCTGTRCTCCTGCCATAAATTTTGGTAACCAATCTGAAGCTCCTTCAATTTGCAATTGTTGTTTCTGAGTAATCTTCCGATAGGCGATGTGTCTTGAAGATRGTTAAAMGATAAATCTAACGATTCCAGAGAGGGACATGATTCTAGGGACGATAGCAAAAATTCGACATGGTGATTTTGCAAACCGATAGATCGAAGCTTGAGCGTCTTCGCGCAACTTCCCCGTAATCCTTTAGCGAGTAAARAAAAGTTTTCAACCCTCGAACGGCTCAGGTCAAGAGTCCTCAGTGTGTTGTTGCTTCTGAGTCCCTTGGTTAGAGCCTCCACTTGCTCTGATAGTAGAGAATCTTGGATGCGCAAGGATCTCATTTTTGTAGCAGACACGAGCAGACTTTCCAAGAAGAATTTCGATAGAAACGTTGATTCGGACAGGTGAACGTGTTTGCAATTCCCTAGCGCCTCGGACATTCGAACGGCCGGTTTGTTTAGATGTGCTCCGCAATCATCTAGATATACTTTCTCGACAGACCCCTTCCAAACAAGATTTATAATAGCATCAATTACTTCATCTTCTAAAAGTGTTTTCCTTACTTCTACCGACGACACAGGTTCATCACTTGTTAGAGCGCGCTCTAAGTTCCGCAGCATCTGCTCTCTGTCTCGACCACAATACAAGCGAATCGTTGACATCGTTTTGAGAATCACRAATAGCAATGAAAATAATACAGAATCCCTTGAAACAGAAGCAGGGGTCAGTCTTCTAGGTTTGTCGYCGATTATCTGGGCAATATTTACAATGAAGAACTCGACTGWTCGATTTGTACTGATACTGTAATAAAGCAAATGTGTTGTGTCGGACTGAAGAATACGAAGTACTTGTAAAGTACTTCACCATATTCCGTTCTTTTCGAAAAGAAATAAATACTGTATCGGAATTTCAAATTTCAGCACACTTTCGAATCAAAATCAATCTCGTGTCRCCATCTGTGACACCGATTTTTAGAATTCGCATCAGTATTGTGGTTCGCCATGCTGAGGACAGTGAATCCCGAATGGTTAGTGAATAACGCAGATCGACTAAATAGACACCAGGGACCTTTCGTTCGACAATAATTCGATTTTTTTTACATTCTCCCATCTCCATTTCCCCTCTCCCCCCCCTTCACACACAAAAACTAGTCCCTAAATATTTCTATTAGTGGTCCTTACTACTGGAGAGGTAAATTCATTGCTTACTACTTGAGAATTACTAGTATTAGTGCGTGCTACTGGAAAACCTCTAGTACTTGCGACTAGTGGGGAAGTTGTAGTAGTGAGCACTGCAAACTGCTGGGTAAGGGGGTTGTTGTTGTTAGTATGTCGTTGGTGCTGCTCAATAAATTAAATAATTTGAAACAATTTTTTAACTGTAAAAATGACCCTGACAATTTTGTTAGTGTTTGTGTGGGGACCAATCCCTCATCCTTGTAGTGCATTCCTACCATAAGATTTCAATCAGAGTAAAATGTGTTCATCCTAAATACCATACCACGCCCTGCTACAGGCAGCAGGGCAAAAAGGCATCCTGGTTAGTAATTTTGAAGCCCAGTATTTTGTATAGATCCTACACAGCAGATCTACCAGTATTCAGTCACTCTTTTAATCCCAAACAGTTCAATAAGCTAACCACAACAGCTCTGAAAAGGCCTCTTATGAGATCCCCTTTGGGGATATGCTTGGTCATACTAGTGTTAAAAAGAGTGCTGTGTGTCATTGTTACACAATAAGCTACTACTATTATAAGGACAAGCCTGGGGGRACCAGCAACAATACATCAACAGCCACCAGTGTTGCCAAATTTTGCTGCTTTCAGAGAGACCAGCTGTGTTACAAAATAGGCCAGAACTTTATTAAAAACCATCTCTGGGCCACCAGACTACTAGTAAGCACCCTGTCSAAGTTAATACAATTAGTAGTACCTAAAGGTTCTTGGTGTCATTGGGAAGCCAAAGGATCATGCTCTAGAGGCTTGGAACTACTACTACTAGTCTRCCAAAGTCATACTAGTGGATGGCCAAATTCCATATTAATTGTGGCTGTAATTCTACTCTGATTAAACTTCTACCACCATAATTAATACTATGTRCTTCATACCTATGATAGTACAAGTACAAAGTACTTGCTGCTCCAGTCCACTGCTATGAGTGTCCAGTTTGCACCTTTTCTAGCAAAACAAGCTCAATATTTGGTTGATTTGGTTGGTCCTTTTTTATCACTCTATTGATCTCACCTAATAATATTCCAATGAGTTCTGTCAATTTACTGTTGTACCAGCAGTAGTATTAAAGAAGGAATAAGACTTCAAACAGGAGGCAATTATTTCATATGAATAGTACTATGATTATACTGTCAGTTTGTTGGCTTCCAACGGTCATTTTGATATGGCCCTACTTCCATATGTTAGCAAAGAGTGGAAAATTTTCAAATATTACTATTATAACTTGCTTTCTTTTTTGGTCATTCTTGTTTAAAAGAAGAGGTGAATTGAAGAACCATTGTTTTTTCAAACTTATTTTGCTGTGTCATTTTTTTCATTTTCTTCATTTGACAATTAGAAAAATAAAATTATATTTTTTGTCATGCACATGCACATTTTTTCAGTGGTGCTGATTCTACATGTTTTACACAGTCATTGCTAGAATTCGACTGCAATAACAATTCAGTAAGGTTGGGGACAATTTTGAGGACCAGCAAAAATGGTTATTGAAACTCGTCATAGTGGACTGGTGGAAGTAATTTCCTGGTGATAATTGGGCTGATATTAGCAATTACTAATGTGCATAGTATGTTCTTTGCCAAGGTATTAAAATATTTGAAATATTAGACAACRAAGGCCTAGTAGTAGTACATGGTGGATTCTATGCACCAAAAAATATGCCTCTTTGGAAACAGTTCCAATCCAGTGATACAATTAAGGTAACTGGCTCTGCCCATGTGAGAAATGATGGTGGTAGTCCTGTTCACCAGAGCCAATGAGAATGGTGGTTGGAACAAAGAGGACTAGCAGTTGCTACTAAAAGAGAAAATTTCCTTTCAAGAAGAAGAAGAAGCTTCCTACAAGAATTGTAGAGGAGTCCTGCTGTAGAGCCTGCTCCTGGGAGGGAAATCTACATAGGAGATACTACTACTACTAGAAAGGAAAACAAGAACAAGATCTGCAAAAGTATCATCTTCTACATTACAGATGTACTTTACGTCACATGTGACACAAGAGTGGTAGTAACATGTGCCAATATCTAGTACTACCAACAAAAATGCAATATCACCAGCAGCAGTAGTACTACTAGTAGTAGAAATATTTCCTCGCTACACTACTACTAGTCGTCCCTTTGTAAGAAAAAGCACATTACACACATCATCCCATGGGACAAAACAACATCTTAGCAAAGAAGACTAAACTAGAGTATGTTCTTGGAGCAACAATRATACTGCTAGCTACGCAACAAAATGTTTGGTGCCTCGATACCCGTGCTGCAGTAGTGCAAATACTACTACAAATGGAACAGCAAGAAGAAGCTAAATCTCAAAGTAAAACAACTATACTATTTTAATGTCCCCCAATAGGAAAAATTGTTTGCAAATAACATCTGCTGCTGGATATAACTTCATTCTTTGTGCCACGTCAAGCAAGGCAAACATAGMGCTCTTCGTTGTTTTCTTCCCTTCGATAACACGACATCTCCTCTTCACGTGTCTGTTTTGCCAGAGCAAGATATTTTTCGCGTTGTTCTTCATCTTCTGCCTGACTTGCCAAAGAAATGTATCGATCGTACGCATCTCCTTCGTATCTTGATTTGCTGTTATACAACGGACTTAGCTTTATGTCTTGTTCTGGTATTGCCTTGAAAGCATTGTACCGATCAATGAAAACTTCCCCTATTTCATGACTGATTCCAAAATGCGAGTATCCAGTTCTGTTGCTTTTCTGCGTTTCGAAAATGTTATATCGTRCATTGGCACTGTTCTCTTGCATACAGAAAGCACCATTTTTTTGTCTACTTTCATTAGCGCTCATGATTTTTCTCCTCTCCTTGTCMACAAAATGGCTCCCTTCGTACATCAGCTCATTCTTTGGCTCAGTCATATCAGCTGTTGCCTCCGTCTTTGTTTGGAAACTTTTTTCGTGACTAGTTTCGGCAGTCGTGCATGCTTTATTTGTACGATTGTCCTGAATATAAATATCAACATCTCTTTGCCGACTTCCATTAACCATTATGTTATTCTGCCTCTGTTCCTCGAAGGAAACGTCATCGTCAAAACTCCACGCACTCTTTTGCTCGGTCATGTCAGCTGTGGCTTCCATTCTAATCTGGGAAATTCTATCGTGACTTATTCCGAAACTTGTGCACGTTTCACCCTTGGTACAGTTGTCATAAACAGCAACACAAACATTTTCTTGCCTACTTTCTCTAGCAACCRTGTTATTGTGTCTCAGATCCTCGACGAATTGGTTATCATCATATCTGTGTTCGTCCTTCGGCTTTGTCATGACAGCTGTTGCTTCCTTTCGTCTTTGGCAAAWTTTTTCGTGACGACACGCATCGTAATAGCGATCAAATGAACGTTTCTTACAAACACTACAAAGCCATTTGGTTGCCGTAAGGCCTACGGATTCCCTTTGCATACTTCCCCTTGTAACAACGTTGCAACGCATGGGCCTAGACGAGCTCGACAACTCTATTTCCCTTAGCTGCATTTTTATTTTTCCCCTTCTCAACGCTCGTTGCTCAGTTCCCGGCATTGAGGACTGATCGTCGTTGCTATTATTGTCTTCTCCTCCCCTCGAACTGCTTTCTCTCATTTCAGCTTTGATCCTTTTGCATTCTATTTCGTGGCGAAAGGCTTCGATGTAGCTACCGAACCGTGCCTCCTTGCAAACATCACAAAGCCACATCTTTACTGGCTTCTTGTCTTCCTTCACAACAACTTTCTTTGCTTTTGGACTCTTCTTGGCGCGGTATCTCACCTCGCAGTAAATCCCTTTGCTATTTTCACTATAAGAAATGACCGAATYGGCACCTGCATTACCCACGCGATTGATTGTATTAGCAGTCATTTCCCCTCGTAAAGTTGCCTTGTTGCGTGATTTGAAAGAATCTGCTACAGAGTTAGATTCAAAATCAATCGAATGCAAGTGCTCTTTCAGCTGCTGCTCTACTGTTGGATTTTGGCTGTCGGCGTCATTTATGAGGGTATTCCTTGGACTATGCGCTGAGGAAGAAGGTTTGTCTTCCCGGTGATTGGGAAGATGATGCGTTACTTTTGGATCGAAATGCGTGTATCGGTCTTTGGTAACGCTTCCCCAGTTGCTTGAATCATCGTCGTTCCGAGTTGCGTTTTGACGAGACATGTCAATACAATCTCGTCGAATAGATGGCTGTAACGATGATTGTGTCCGAGGCGAAAGACACTTGTTCCATTGGTCGATTTCTTCGTTTCCGTGGCACGTTGAGAAGCGTACATTGTTGCCTCGATTAGAAGGATAAGAAGATGAAGCTCTGCTATAGCCCAGTCCATCACGCCCTGGGCAAGAAGAAGAAATGGTAGAAATCCTGCTGTCGCCAAACGAACGATGGTGTGATGATCGAGAACCTCGATATGTGATTCCATTGTTGGAATTATATTCGGCAGACCTCTTGATTTCAGCAGTATAGTTGCGATCATTTTTCGGTACCCGCGATTGTTGTTCGTTTGGTTCTTCATTTTGTGGCAGGCGCCGCCAGTTTTGAACGCATATAAATTCTGGAATGTTCGTTGAGCTCTGTCCTATTGAAGATTCATCGACACCGGGACTGTTTCTTTCCCACACATTGGTTGTGCTACTAACACACCCGTCGTGAGTTATTGTGAGTTTGGGTGTGTCAAACCTTCTTCTCCTCTGTGCTTTCCGCCTGTKAGAGGGAGATCCCTCTAACTTGCTAAAGTGTGTTGGCATACTACCTATATTGGAATTTGGGCATGCATGTGATTCAACGTTGTCATGGTCAAGGTTGTTCCGGTTTGCAGTATCTTACTTTACTTTACGTTGGTTCTTCGATCAAATAATTGAGAGACTTGGCTTTGTCATGATGAGAGAAATCGCAGAGTGGAGGGCGCTCGAGATCGGTTGAATACGTAGGTGAGAAAGGTTTTAGCGAGCAGATCCGAGACATAATTTCTAATCGCAAGAGTCGAGTCACTAATTTTTATTTTTAGTCATTGTGGGAATTCCTGGAGGATTTTACTGAACGTTCTTGATATCCGTTACGAATAAATCCTTGTTAGACTCGTAACAGGCGCATGACTATTGTACTGCTGTATTTTTATTGTACTTTTAATCAATTACGTACGAGTACTGTACAATGGGATGATTACTGTAAAAAATTAGAAGAATGAGTCCAGTACAAGTTTATACTGATCTGCAATGGCAGGAGGGATTTTTTCATGGGGACACTCCGTTGAGATAGAAGGCACATTACGGTCAGTTTCAACCGGTACGGTACTACGACATTCGTTTCTTTCACCTAACTGTAGTACTTGTACTAGTTTCCTCGTCGTGCAGTCTTTGAACAAGCGTGAATGGAAGAAATATTACGGTAAGACACGCAGGAACTCTACTAGATAGAAGGTAATCAAGCGGTTTAAAAGACGTTGTCGGCAATAATCGAAAGACGACATCATTCTTGGTAAGATTGTTTTCCTCCTCCKAAGTAGAATTACTTTAAGTATCTTAGTACTTGGTATTATATAAATCTGTATGTACTTYCGAGTATCATTTATTTGTTTTCTTTCGGTTCATTGGTCATCATGACTCGAGTTCTTCGGTAAACCAGGAACGAATAAATAATTACGAGGATCGTACCGGACGCAGAGTAATAAAATTGTCAAAGAATGAATAGTCGTACAAAATAACAAAATTGGTGAACTCAGTCTCTCGAAAGAGAACTTGTATAATTCAGATATTATAGCCCCAATAATGACCGTTTGATCTTGATTTCGTGAAAGGTATTGTTWTCYGTCACTCTGGGTCCTTCCGCAAAGGGAAAAAGGATGATTCTCGATCGTACGAGGCAACGCCTTACATGTATTATTTGATGTCACTAAAAATTGAGTTTGATGATCACACACACGCACAATAAGGTCGCATTAAGGAAAAACTTTTAGAGAACGAAGAKGATGAWATATTTTCGTGTTTTTAATCTCATAACGATAGTGCTGCTAGTAGTAGCTGTTAMAGTTACTGCTGAGAAGGATTGTCTTGAAGATCCACCAGAACCAATTCTTGTAGAAGCGATCGGGAACGTAGATGGTTCAGAGGATTGTTTGAATGATGCCATTCGCATTGTCGCTTCTGCCACTGATAGCGAAAGCGGTATCAATTACGTCACATTTACCGTGAATCAGCTTTGGAAGAAAGAAGGAACACCCATGCTTTCTGTTAGCTACCCCGGTGGATACCAAGGGGAAGGAGAATGCGATATGCAAACTGGTGATGGAGATGCAGCAGGGCTCATAACATTCAATTCTACTCGAGAATATACCGCCCAGTGTTCTCATGGGTATGCTGAAGTTGGCGTGTATCTCTTTGTTGGAGATTCTAATGACTTYGATATAGAAGAATGCGAATCTTGTGCTGTTCCTAATGCCGATTATACAGGCTACTATTTGCGTCTTTCTTGCGATAGAATTTGCGAAGAAGCTGTGGATGAAGATATGCCTTCTGATAGGTTAACATATCCACCGACCCAGGGCTTCGAAGAACTTCCCGAACTTCTAGCCAGCTTAGATCCAAAAGTCGAAGAAGCAATTTCTGAAGATCCATTTCCATCATGTCCCGAAGATATTGCACTCGAACGACAATACGGAAGGACAGACTTTTCTGTGAACCAAGCGATCCAGATTTTGAGCAAAGATACATCAACAGTCACCATAAAGCTGACGGAAGCCTGGATGGGTGAGAATGCGCCTCGGACAAACATCGACCACATCTTCATTTCTTACAAAACATCTATGTTTAGTACACACTGTTACGAATTCGATGACGTTCCGTTGGGAGACGTAATCGAGGAAGAACTCACCATCACCTGCAACGTATTGAAACCGAGGGCTTTCCTGACAATTTGTGTTGCGGATGCCCTAGCCCATGGGGTTTTGGGTATGGCAGACGATGCTAAAGTTCCAAAATGTTGCCAACCATCATTTCCGCCGGACACACCCGTCGTTTGTTACAGTYTATTGATCAATTGCGAGACGGAATGTATTGATGAAAGCCAACGACGAAAGCTGTCAAGTCCCACGAAGGGATTTTTGCGTTCTGGACGATAGATCCATGAACTAGTATAWCAGATCCTCTCAMAAGAACAAAAAGAAATGAGTATGTGCGYCATGAAATCACTATCAAATTAAAGAAAGCTGAATTCACTTCGCATCTTGCCTTTGCACGATGGCAGTGTATTAGCTTTCTTATTAATGAGTTTAAATAAATTTTGCAAATAGTAGACCTTTATCACTGTCGTCATCTTCTTTTAATCATTACTATTAGTACTATTGGTTACTACTAGTAGCTAGCTGTTTTCTTAAGGTAGATACGAGTAGTACTAGTACTACTAGTAGTATTAACAGTAGTACTAGTAGTACATATTGTAATAGTAGAAGTACTACTAGTGGTTGTTGTTTATACCTAGTAAGAAGCAAGAATTTCATTAGTCCTGATTTCATAGTTTGATACAATTTTGTACTAGTAGTTGGA